TCTCTCTCTCTCTCTCTCTCTCTCTCTCTCTCTCTCTCTAGCTTGATGTTCTGTGGTGCTTTGCAGACAGCGCTTCAGTTTTGGAATCAGAGTATTTGACTCATCCTCATCTGATGAACTACCAGTGGAGTACAACAGCAGAGGGAGCTGTTGGAAGAGTCTGGCGGTGTCCGGTAGGCCCTGAAACAACCAAAAAATATTGGGGGCAATTTTGGGGGGCAGACTAGGACCCGAAAAACGACCTAGGCTCCCCCAAAAAAATATTCGAATTTTTTAAAATTGGGCCTAATCCAGACCTACCGGACCAGACACCGGACCCATACCCAAACAACCGGACCGTGTGGATTCCGGTCCAGATGTCCGGCCGGTTGCCATGGTTTAAAGAAGGTTAGCTCCACACTCCCTTGAACACGGCGTTGCTGCTTGAGCTGCAGCCAATGTTCCAGGTGAGCGTGGAAGTCAACTTCCTTAGACTCCTCCCAAGGCTCAGTGTATATGAACTGCAGCAGCCTTGGATTCAGCGTCGTTTCGGGCTTCAAGGGCAGCTTGTTGATCAGATTCAGGCTCCTTGGAGGGGCCTGCAACTGACGCTTCAGCTTCCCTTGTTGTAGAGAGTGCTGATGACTCCTCTACGGCCTTTGCCTGTTTCCCTAAAGTCGATAACAGTCTTGCACAGCATGCCTAGGCTTTTGACAATGCAAGCATACTCGCAGTTTACATCTTCTTTCCCATTCTTTTTGACTGATACGGAGGGCTTCCAAAGGCTTGGTAGATGCATCCTCCGGTTTCTCAGGGATCTTCGCATTCTTGGGGAGGTGTGCAATATTTCCCCTACCCGAACCACGGTTAGGCCCCTTAGTTGAAGCAGTCCTTTTGAACGCATTAAGTTTTTCATCTGCGTTCACGTCAGACTCAATGGCTGATGTAGAGCAGCCCGTATTGGAGTCCGGCTCTAGATCGTCATCTAGAGACAGATCATCCGCGTAGGACTGATCTTCAGCCTCCCGATGTTCATGCAGGGCAAGCTGGTTGCTGCGTCCATACCGCTTGCGTTGTGGTTTTCCACCTCCAGCGGGCGCCTTCTTACGCCTGGCGAGGTCCTTGGCCTCTAGGTTGACTAGATCCGTCATGAGCTCTCGCCAGGTGGTATGGTCTTTGAGTGCTAACAGGGAGAGGTATTCTTTAGGGGCCACTCCCATGACTACATCCATGCCAGACACGTCGGTCATTCCCAGGTCTGGAGTGGTGAACAAACCAGTCAAGTGTTGTTCCAAAGCTTGCATGGAGGATTTCCATGTTTGGCCCTTGAGGGCCTCAAGCTTCAGCCTTGCCTTGAGCGCAGCATGCTTATCTTGGTACCGTGTGATGAGAAGGTCCTCAAGGGTGCGTACAGGGGTTACCTTCAGCCACTCAGTCAGGTCAATTCTTTCATAACCTGCAACAACAGCTTGGAGCTCAATGTGATTTCGAACGGCAGGCTCAGTATTAGTGTCCATGATCATACTTCGGTCTTCCTGCGGTGTCCGCATAACCTCGAAGTACGAGCGCATGGAACTAATCCAAGAGGTGATATCCGCTTTCGTACTTGGACGGCAGAGTGGCCGCCCGCTTGTCCACTACGGGACCGATGTACTGTACGCCAGTAAGGACTGTGGCGTTTTGGGCTGATGTCCCTGCATTTGGGACTATGACTAGTGCAGAACTGTCGGCGCTGCCGCTTGAGGAGCTGGCACCGGTTCCTGCGCTCGTCACAGTTCCACTTGCTCTTGTCGTGAGGACTGTGCTAGATTGAGAGACTGGGACTGCAGCAGGTCGAGGGTTAGGAGGACGAGGGGCAGACAATTGGGACTGTTTAAGGCTGAGTATCTCAGCCTGCAGCTCTTGGTTCCGCTGCTCCAGTGCTGTCACACGGAACTCAAGGTCTTCCAGGGTCCGCAGTCGAACCAAGGCTGCTACGGCAGCAGCTAACCTTTCTTGGAACCGGTCAGCATTAGCTTCCGGGACCTGCAGGAAGGCCACCTGATCAACAATGCTTGTGGCTCTGGCTGCTGCCTCTGCCTCTCTCTCCCTCTGCACGGCATCGTCATAAAGCTTTTGGAAGAACGGTTTCGCGTTCTCATCCGCTGCGTCCAGCATGGCCTGCCATTGGGCAGATGTGATGTCCGCCATGCCGGAGGAAGGGGTGTTAATAGATCTCTCAAGAGGGGTCAACTCTCTCCTCACGTTTGGACGAACACTCCTCTTGCCCTTCCTCGCACTCTCAAACAAAACACCTTCTCTCTCCCTTCTCTCTCTCTTCGCTGTCTGCGCACTCGTCTCAATACCATACATAGATAGTTCAGATGAAAGAAACAATCAGTAAATCACACAGAGTAGAAGGTAGAACTCCTAGCCGGAGCGGCGATTCATTTGGACTTACAAAATGGCAGCAGCATAATAAAAGAACAAATAAAAAAATAAAAAAAAACAGACGAGAGGACTGACTTATCGAACGGGCCCGATCAGATTAGCTGGAGATCCCCTCTTGTCTAACTTGACAAGGTACATGTACCACAGTAAATCAGCCGAAGAAAACTAACTGCAACAATGGAGATTTCGAGGGGTGCAGACGGTCGCCGAGCCAGACGCGGGGCAGTATGTGATAACATGCAGTAAGACCAGCAAGATCCCGTTGAAAGGAATGCCCTTACTAGTCGTATGTCCCCACAGTTCAGCACAACAAAGAGATGCACAGGCGGCAGCAGATTCGGGCCCGAAAGGTCCTGTCCCGTTGGGCCTGGTCCCGCAGAGTCCCAATAGGTCCCAAGTAGGTCATGGACCAGGACCAACGAGATAGGGGTACCAAGTCAGTCCCAAACTGCCTCTACCGCACTGAAAAGGAAAAGACAACTTTTAACAAGAACTCACCCCTACAGCCGTTCCGAAATGAAAAGACAATTGTTACATGCCCAGTCGGGCACTGAGAGTTCAACCAAGGATCCGCATTGTGATGAAAAGGACTGAATGGACAGTGGACTGCTAACGTAATATCAACAGACAGTGTACATCCCGATACATGAACAATGGCATTTAATAGCACAACGGAAGACTTGGAGATAAGTCCTGACCTGACCTGGACTGTTACGACATCCCATCATACATCACACATGTGAGAGGGAGGGAAGGGACCGCATACATAGACGAAGGTCCCTCTTGCATACACGCACATGGGGAGATACCACGGATGAGAGATGGAGGGGGGAAGGAAGGACGAAGATGGAGGCAAGGGAGATACCTACTCAAAATGCCCATACCGCGTCTTGAATGTGGTCTTGTAGCAATCATTCGGGCGTATCGAAATCTGATGATACCCCGACTTCAAGTCCAACTTGGAAAAGAACTTAGCACCGCCCAGTCGCTCAAGAAGATCGTCGATACGAGGAAGAGGCCCCGCATTTGTCACAGTTTACGAGTTGAGCTTGCGGTAGTCGATGCACAGACGTAGATCCTTGTTCTTCTTCCTTCCAGAAATCTGAAGAGAACTGGTGCTCCATATGGGGAGCTGCTAGGGCGGATCCAACCCTTGGCCAACAAGTCGTCGAGTTGTGCGCTAAGGACCTCCAGTTCCTCCTCGCTCATCCGATGGATGCAACCTTTCGGCGGCACGGCACCGGCCTCAAGAATGATCTCGTGAGAGATCGGCCGATTCGGCACCACACCGGTAGGTGACTCGAAGATGTCGGCGAACTCATCAAGCAGCCGTACCACGTGGGGGTCCGAAGACAAGTCCGATGGTGAAGAATCGGCTACCGCGCTAGTCCGAAGAAACATAGGCCTATCTCTTCGGGTTGCTCGTATGCACATGTAGTTCGGAACGATTTGGCCGTCACGACTTGGCATCGGATCGAAGGGTGCGGAAGAGGAATAGTACACGACACCTCGGCGCGGAAGGCGTCGCGAACGGTGAGAGTCCGCTGGTGAAAGTTGACCGTGTGATCCGCACTTGCAAGCCAAGGCATTCCCAAAATGATATCGAAGTCCGTGTCCAAGATGTCGTACGTGACCGGTTCGCATGCATGAGGTGCGAAGTACACCGGTACGGCCTCGATGTAACGGTCGAGAAGTTGCTGCGTCTTTCCATCCGCCAACTTGATCGCCGTCGGGTTTGCCTTCCTCCGAACCTGCGCGCCGAGGCCAGCCCTTTGCATAAAGGCTTGGCTCATGAAGTTGCGAGTCGCGCCGCTATCCAGCAAAGCGCTGCAGGACGCCTGCCCAACTTGGATGCGGACATACATCAGCGGTGCATTGTTGTCGTCGTACCGCTGCGTGCGAAACTCGCGGGCCACCTTGGTAACATATGCCAAGATGTCCCCCACCGCGACCTCGTCATCCGTCGGCGAAGTTGGTGGTGCATAGAAGGACGAGTACTTGTGAAGATGGGCACAGAGTGCTGCGCATTGCGGTCCCGGTAAGCGGCCCGTGGTCGGGAGAGGAAGCCATGCGAAATCCCCAGACTTGAGCGGGTCCAATTCCTCTATGTTGAACCCGCGCGCCGAATCCCGTGAAGAACCACTTGAAGACGAAGAAGAACCGTTGTCGGACGGAGAAGATGCCGCACACACGTCTTGTCCTTGAGCAAAAGATCCCAGCGCCGGAACGAGCCGGGCAGCATAGTCCTCAAAAGAATAGAGAAGAGGACTGTCGACTTCCGCATGCGCCCCGGAATGAAGGCCGGTCACTCGCGAAGAAACCGGTTCCGAAGGCGTCGAGAGTGTCGTCGACTCACTCTCGGCGGCGCTCAGTTTCCCTGCTAGCCCTTCCCCTTGGTAGGGCAGCCCACTGTCTCGTGGCAATCGCTGTTGCACCACAGGCAGTAACGGTACTTCGTGCGTTGCTTGTAGGCTTGCTCCGAAAGACCGTAGGGGGTCCAGGGCCCCTGAGCTGCTGCTCCGGGCCCGGGGTTTGATGTGGTGTTTGTCTTCGATTTGCCGCGTCCTCGGCCTCGGCCGGGGCGGCCACCATCCCGGGCAGCTGCGAGTCTGTATCCTTCATTGGCAGACTCCGCCTCGCTAGATTGGCTGCTTGGCGATGCCGCCGCAACCACGGCCACCTTGGGCCGATGCTGGTCCTTGCTCGGGCCTGCCGCAGCACGAGTGAGGTKCTTCGCCTCCTTGTTCGTGATGATAATCTGTGCGGCCTTGTCGAACAGTTGYGCCGTCGTTGTMAGTGTGTCCTCGACATGCGTCAAGGCGTTGCTCAACGTCGGGCACGACCTCGAAATGAAGTAGTGCTTGATGGCTTTGAAGCCCATCGGGAGACCTGGGACGGATGTCAAGCATTGGTACTCGGCAATCCAGTCGACACTTGGCAGCGAGCCTTGCTCGAAGGTCATGAGCTTGTCCATGGCCTTGATCTCCGGCGGCTCCACTTGGAACCGCTTGTGCCACGCGGCCTTGAGGTCTTCCCAGCTGATCTTCGTGTGTAACTCGGCAGCGACCACCCCGTACTGGGACAAGAGATTGTCCAGCCATGCCTGGCATGCGCCTCCCGACCGGGAGTATAAGTATGGGTGGTGCTTGCATTCACTGACGAGGTGCAGCTGCAACGTGAGTTCAAACTTGCGGAACCACTGAACTGGATCCGTCTTTGTTGAATCGCAGAAGATCTCATGACCGTCAAACTTGGGAGTTGACTCGCGCTGTCCCGAACTCGGGCTGGCGGCGGCAGCACAGACCCGCTGCTCCGATTGTTGAGTAGCGGTTTGTTGTAGTCGTGCGCTGTCCTTGAGTGTGCTGACGTCAGTCTCCAATGCGTCCAGGCGGTCTGATGTGTTGGAGGAGCTTGCCACAGGTGCGGCGGCTGGTCGTTGCTCCAGCTGCTGTACGCGGCTGCGAACACTCTTGACTTCGGCATCGAGGCTGTGAATGTCCTCCTGCTGCGCGATGCATGTCGCCAGGAGGTCTGTGAGATGGGAGAGGAGGAGGGCAATCTTGGTCTCGCTCTYCTCCATCTTCCYTGTCTYCGCCTCAGTTCGCCATTCCGCTGCCAATGTGAGTAATGCTTGCTCCCCGCTGAAAATCTTCTCACGCCGCTTCAATTGTTCTTCATCTGCAGCCTTCGCTGCTGC